TAGTTCTATAAATAGAAAATAATAATGATTAATAATTATTAGTGCTGGCGGCAAGTGGTCGGAAAGTGGTTGATGTGCCGCAACAAGTGTGTTACGCTCAACCACCGACGGACCACTATTTTGTGGGTGATACATGCGACACGATGAGACTGCCGTCGGAAAGTGGTCCGAAAGTGGTCCATCTGTGTTCGACTGCGTTTTTCATATTACCATACATGTAATTAATATATCACCCACGAACGACCACCGTTTTGTGGTTGTGGTGTGGTTTTAAAGTGGCCCGTGTGTGTTTAGGCTTAAAAGCACGATCAAAAATACAAATAAACCTACCCCTGAGTATTCTTCATCAAATTCTAAACAAAGCATAAAGTCAAGCCCAAATGTCGTACTTAAAAACAACGACAGTATAACATCACTCTCTTCCGCTACCTCCCATCATATCAACTCAACGTCTACCTCTTCTATGGCTTCCTCGATTATCACCGCTGTTATCAATAATGACACCTCCGCCGCCAATAATAAACCAAATGAAATCGGCATTGATACCGATAATGCCCAGTGCAACACACTACACAATCATAATCAACCTCCAAGTTTCGCCATCATAACTTCGAACGAAAAAACGCCGTCTAGAGAACAAGCACTAGTATTTAACTCTATCGATGGCATACGCCAAGTTGAATACATTCTAGAAATCGCAAAACTGATATCTCCTAAAGATATAATATATGTATCAAGAATCTCAAAGAACCGCTTTGCGTTTTTCTTTCAAGCAAGGATATCCTTAAAACACTCCTCGGAAAATCCGAAACTATTTCAATAAATGAGCACATTATACCTATGCGAAGGAAAAAAAATCACTCTATTGTTATATGTTTGCCCCTCTATTCCAAACCAGACAATTTTTAACGAATTACAAAAAATCGACATAATCCCAGTATTTCAAATTAATCATATAAAAGCCGGAATAAATATTGAAGGCTGCGAACACATACGGAGCTTTTGTTGACAAATGTTTATCAAACAAGAAGATATAAATAAACTTCCCGGCTCTTTAGTCATCAATAACAACCAAACATCGTTTCGAATATTTTTTACTGATGACAAAATCATTTATTTTCTATGTTAAGGAGTGGGACACACTACTACATCATGCAAAAAACATACATCTCCAGATAATCCTCAAAATATACAACCACATAAACCACCCCAAACGATGCTAAATCAAGATAATACAATTGATGAACATTCTGCCACTCTTCTGAAAGACGTACAATCTCCAGATATTCTACTAATTGATGAAACCAACCTCCAAAATTATTCTGACCAGCATGAAGAAAACAAGACGAAACCAAAACTCCCGACTGCGAAAATATTTTTGATTATAATATAACAACTCAAACACCAATCGAAAACTCAACCAATAACCATATCAAGAAACCTTTATCAGACACAAACTCACCAATTTCCCCCACCTCCCCAACGCTTCAAGTGGTAATTTCCCTATCGCACAGCCTGATAAAAAAAAAAACCAAAAGTTATCTCTAGATCTAACTCGGTAGTAATAACTCATACTGAGGCTAGTAAAATAGATATAGTAGTGCAACCAGCAGAGGAGTTTTCATTTCCAAAGTAGAAACATCGATAACTTTTATCCAGTTCAAATATATATTTGAAAATTCTACAAACAAATCGATCAATATAAACTCACTATGTGAAGAAGCCAATATAGATAATATCGTACTTATGGACTTAATTGAAGAAGTTAAAAAAGAAATAAAGGATCGGACCACTAAAGCCAGACTTACAAAATTATCTAACCTTCTATTTCAAGCAGCACCCTCACCCACACCCTCCCAAAATTGAAATCCAAAATGAGTATAAACATAATTCAATGGAACATAAACGGCTATATAAAAAAGCTAAACGATATTAAAATAATTATCCAAAACCACAATCCAACTATTATATGCCTACAAGAAACTAACCTTAATGGTAACTTCAATCCCCACATTAATAACTTTAATACCTATACCACTAACAGAACAGACTACGTCCGACACAGCGGAGGGGTTGCTATTCTGGCTCATTCAGAATATCCAAGCTCACGGGTCTCAGTCCAATCTACGCTGGAAATGGTCACTATTTATTTTCAACTAGAGACTAAAATTACCCTCTGCAGTATTTACATACCAAACCAAAACCAATTTGATGCATCTGATATTGAAAACATAATTCAACAACTTCCAACTCCTTTACTTCTAACCGGGGATTTCAACAGTCACAGTACATACTAGGGATCTGATAAAACCGACGACAGAGGAAAACAAATTGAAAAAATCACTGAAGTAGACAACATTACCCTGCTCCACAATGGTGAACCCACCCGTATAAATCCAACCCATGGTAAATTTTCTACGATTGACTTATCTCTGTGTAGCGCCTCTTTGGCCCAACGTATAAATTGGTCGACTTTACCTGAAATTTATGGTAGTGACCATATTCCAATAAAAATTGATTTATTGTCAAGTAAAGCTTCGTTAAATAAATTGCCTTCTAGATGGAAACTTAAAAACACCGATTGGAATCTTTTCTCACAGATGGTTGAAATATACCTAAATTCCAATCCCCCACCACCAGACGATCCTATCAGCAATGATGTCTCTCACATAACCAACTCAATTATAACTGCAGCTAACTTATTAATAGGCAAAACAAAAAACTCCAAAGTTCCCTGGTGGAATCCGGAAATAAAACTTTCTATTAAAAACAAGAACAAAGCATTAAAAGTATTCATAAAAACAGGCAATATCGATGACCATATCCTATTGAAACAACTTCGTGCAAAAACGCGTTATTTAGTTAAAAGAAGCAAAGAAAATTCATGGAAGTTGTTTACATCAACCATAGGACTTAATAGCGACCCAAGCCTAGTTTGGACCAAAGTCAGATCCTTGCGTGGTCACAACAAGGAAAAAGAACTCCACATTATAAAAGACAACACCATACATATCAACCCGACCGAGGTCGCTAACCTCATAGGAAATATTTTCTACGCAAACAGCTCCGACATCAATTATGATGAGACATTTATAAATATGACCAACACAAGTGACTACCGCGAATTTCAATCAAACATTAATCCAACAGACCAGAAACAAAAATATTTAAACTCTACAATCAGTTTAAAGGAGCTTAACTAGGTCATAAACAACTGCTTCAGTCTCTCCCCCGGTCCGGACGAAATCCTATATAGCTTCATACACAATTTATCCCTGTCAGCATTCCACTTCATAATCCGCTTATTCAACAAAATTTGGGATAGCGGATAAATCCCCAAGCATTGGAAACATGCCTTTGTTTTCCCAATTCTAAAGCCCGGAAAGATGTTTTCTTCGATGTATCGTCAATAAAAAAACATCGAAGCAACATCGATGTATCGAATATAAACATCGATATTTTAAAAATATCGATGTTTTTTGCCCATTCCTAATTATAATAATATGAGTTATGAATCAAACTATTCAAAATTTAATTACGTCTTATGTAAATAATATATTGTCATTTTATTTTAGTTGTTAAGGAATAATGTTCAGTTTCGTTACAATTCTTTTTTATTTGTAGTAGTATATTATTGAGATGTTCAGTTTCAACTCTACTGAAATATACTTATATTTTTTAAAAAAGTTGCGAAACAGCATTAGCAACCAAATGAATCCAGCCATACAGTAACACTAGTTGGTTTTGATAATTTATACTTGTACTTACTATTACGATAATGTAATTTATATAGATATTAGATAATATTAAATTTTTATGTTTAAGATGTTTGTGAATTGTATTGTTAATACTCAATAAAACATTTAGTAAATAGCATCTGTGTAATAAATTTTGATGAAGTCTGGTTTATGAAATGTTCAAATAGGTAATTGGGTAAATGTAAATATAAATAAACATTATTAAAAGCTATCTCGACACATTAGATAGTTATTGCTGATTTGATGTTTTTTTTTTTCAAATGTATCTGGTATGTATAACGAGTTATTTACTGAAATGATCGAAGCACAAAAAAAAAATGCAAAATATCTACGTATGTGTTATATATATTATGAAAATTCTATCTTTACACAAAGAAAACGCACAAGAATTAACTCTTAGTATAATATAAAAAATTAATAAACATTTATTCATTAGAATATACATATAAACTTAGATCACCAAAACGATATACATATAACGACAACGCACTCTTCGCTCATCGGTCGTCCGCGAACTACACTCTCTCTCTTTCCGTCACTCCCGACCGTACTCTCATCGCAAAGGCAACAGTGCCAGCACATTTACAATATTTTCCTCTTTCTCCCTTTTCCCCTTTTTTTATAACATTCGGTCTTCCTGACCCATGAGTGTCCTCACTCACATTCATGCTTACCATTTAAATCTCTCCAAATTTTAATAATTATATAAACATTTCTCTTTTTTTTTTTTTATACATAAATAACAAATTAAAATAAGTAATTTAATAATAAGTAAAAAAATAATAAAAATAGTAAATAATAATAATAATAATATCAACTATCTTATCGCTTCATATTGTAGCTACCATGCCACACTGGTGGTTTACGGTTCCTTTCTGGTCGTCTCGGTTCTCCAGGATCATGGTCCATTCCCGTGATAGTTTCTTTTCTCTCAAGTTCTTCCATCGGTGATCGTTCTTCTTCCTAGTCTTCTGTTGTTGTCTCTTCCGCTTCGACATCGGTTTCGGGTAGATGATAACCCTTTATGTGTGATACATGTACTGTGGTGGAATACCGTCTGCCATTTTCAGCCTTCAGTCCTGCAACTCGGTAAACATCTTTGAATGCCACCTCTATGACTACCAATGGTCCACGGTATTTTGACTGTAACTTGGTGGAATCTCCGGTTACATCTGGTGATCTTCTTATAAAAACCAAGTCACCTACATTGTATATAGCTGATTTAGCATGTCTGCTGTCATATCTCTCCTTCCATCGCTGTTGTTCTACAGTAATCTTCTCACGAATGTTGTTTTGGGGTCCTTCAGTGTCATCCCATGTATCCTCTGCAATCAAATAATGTAGTATGCTATACTTAAAACTTGGTCGATAACCAAATAATACATGAAAGGGTGTATCCCCAAGTGTTTTATTATATGCGCTATTTAACTGACATTCAGCCTCCAATAAAAGTTTATCCCATTTATTGTCACATTCCATGTTAGCCTGCAAGACTGGTATCAGGGTACTATTGACCCTCTCCACCTGTCCGTTAGATTGCGGGTGTCGCACTGAGTTTAGGATGGGTTTGATCCCATGTTGAGAGCAGAAGTTCCCAAACGCCCTGGATGTGAACGCCGTCCCTCGGTCGCTGATAACCCGTTTAGGCGAACCATATGTCAGAATGAACTGCCGCAAACTGTTAGTCATTCCTTCGGTGCCGCAACTTCTAACTGGGTACAATTTCACAAATTTAGTAAGATTATCAATTAACACTAGGATATACCTGTTTCCTTTCGTTGACTTGACAAAAGGGCCTACATGGTCCAAATTAACCGTTTCAAAGGGGCGCTTTCCAGGCTCGATCGGATTCAGTTCTCCCGGTTGTCTTTCCCGTGGCACCTTCGTTAAAATACATTAGGGGCAGCACTTTATGTGTATACGTACATAACGCCGCATCCGTGGAAAGTAGTATTTTTCTCGTATCTTGAGGACAGTATGTTCCACAGAGAAATGTCCAGCTAGGTCGTGGAACCGCACCACGATACTCTTTCGCATGGAGTTTGGTACTGCCCATAACTTTCTGATGTTCCCATCAACAGTGACCCTTCTATACAGCAATCCTTTCTCTAGACAATAGTCCTTGACTAATTCAGCTTCCGATTGTGTACGACTTAAATCCTCTCGACTTAAGATCTCCACGATGTGTTTCAGGGCAGCATCAGTCCGTTGCATCGCCAGAACCTGTTCTTCTTCACTCATAGTAATAAGCACCTCTAACCGTTTATCCAGCACCTCCACTTCGGTGTCCTCTGAAGGGAAGGGTTGATCGGCGCTCGACTTAACGCATCAATGTGTTCCATCTTGGTCCCTGGACGGTGTTTAATTTCAAAATCAAATTCACTCAAAAGGGTTGCCCATCTTGCGATTTGGGGTTGAACGGTCTTTTGGGTATTTAGATGCACTATCGCTTGACAGTCGGTCATAACTATAAACTTTATACCTATAAGATATTGACGTAACCTAGTCATTCTCCAAACTATTGCCATTAGTTCCAGTCTGCTAGAGTGGTAGTTTTCCTCCGCCGAGGTGGTTTTTTTCGATACAGCGTGTACTAGATGTAAGTGTCCGTCGTCACCACGTTGAAGTAACATACCACTTATCCCGACACTACTGGCATCGCAATGTAATTCGGTGTGAGCTGTCGGATTGTATAGTTGCAATATAGGTTTACTAACCAGTTTCTTCTTTAGAGTTTGAAATGAAGTCTCTTGTGATGTTGTCCAAGTAAACGCTACCTTCTCTTTCAGTAATTCACTGATTGGTCGTACCAGTTGCGCATAATGTGTGATAAATCTTCTGAAGAATCCGCATAAACCCAAAAATCTTCGTACTTCCTGTTTGTTTTGTGACCTTGGAAAATGCTGTACAGCTACCATCTTCTGTTCACCCGAACGTACTCCGTCGACCTATAGCATAAATCCAAGTTATGCCACCTCAGGAAACTCAAAATAACACTTACTCAATTTTAGGGTCAAATTAGCTGACTTCAGCGCATCTAATACTTGTCTCAGACGCTTTATCATGTCATCAAACGACGTAGAAGGGACCAAAATATCATCTAGATACCACATTGCTACTTTCTTCTTGAGTGGATGTAATATTCGTTGCATGAGGCGTGAGAATTCGTACGGTGCATTAATTAAACCAAAAACCATTCTTTCAAACTGGCCGGATTCGTTTGGGGTTATGAATGCTGTCTTTTCTTTCGCTGATTCAGACAGTGGTACTTGCAGATATCTTGAAGCTAAGTCCATTTAAACATTTTTGCACCGTATAGGGCCTCTAGGTGTTCATCAATATTTGGCATTGGAAATACTTTACGTACGGTCTGCGCATTTAGTTTCCGATAATCGACTACTAATCGAGCTTCTCTATTTTTTTTTGAAACTAACAATACGGGCGACGCATACGGAGATTTTGTTTCTGTTACAATCCCAGCATCCTTTCATTCCTTAACTATTCGACTTATGGTTTCCCGCTCAGCAAGGCTAACTCGATAAGGTTTGCATACAACCGGTTTTCCATCATCTACGATCTCCATCTCCACCTCACTCGTGCATCCCAACTCGTTCAGACTGAACGCGAAACAAGAGCGATATTTATTTAACAGCTCTGTAAGTTCATGAATTTCCTTCCTTGGTCATATCTGGTCCATGCTGCACCATATCCACGGTAATGGGTGTTTGATCAGACGTCAGAGGTTCATTTGCGTTTGTATTATATATTAAATCGCCAACTTTATCGCCCTTACTCAAAGTTGTCTCTATTTCGTTGTCGTTGATAAGCACGATCTCGATCTGTTCGTTATTAACTTCGACTTCAACCATCGATGCACTTTTCGCTGGTAATATCTCGGTATCACGTACTATTTTTGCACCACACTTGACCAAGTTACCGCATATGTTGTCTTCTTCTTCAAAGGGAAATCGCATACCGTAAGTGAATAACAGTCGGTCTTTCGTTTTGACAAAAGATACATTCTCGCAGTCAGTAAAAGTTCTACCAACTATGATATCATACTTTTGAATGTAGTCATCGACGACAATTAATGATATTCGCTCACTTACTTCGTCGATTTTCAAAACTGCACTTGTTTGCCTATAGCTGGTAACAGTTTGAGCATTACCATACACGCACATAGTGATCGCCTTTGGTTCTATTAGTAGTCCGTGCTGATCAGCTACTGATCTACGAATGATTGTATATGCACTCCCCGTATCGATAAGTCCGATTATCGGTCGTTCATTACCGTTGATATTTACGTCTTTCATGTAAAACATAATCTGTCCCGCAGCACTTTGGCTGACAAAACTGACATCGGAGGTAACAGTTTTACAATATTTCGCAGTATGATCTTCCGTATTGCACCTTGTACACTTTAAGGGTTGACGTGGTCGTGTACAATCATGCGAAATGTGTCCCGTAAAGTGACAGTTATAGCATCGCGGACCTACGTTTGTTTTCATTGTCGAACGAGTTGTCGAATGAGTCTACATCGCACGTGTACTAGGACTCCGCTCATATGCAATCATTTTTGCGAGTTTCTCCGATGTAGAGTTAATGACACGTCGGCCCTGTGACGTAATCGGCCGGAATAGTTCACTTCGGTTTTGATCAACTTCCGCATACATTCGAATATCTGCCAACAGTTCAGGTTCGGTAATATGACTATTACTTAACAATGCAGCGCACATTTGTTTCGAACGTAACCCTATACACACAATTTTCTTTACCTCTGCCGGGCACAGTCCCAGTCGTCGACAAAGCCGCACCTTTTCGTGAAAATACGTGTATAGAGTTTCATCTTCCTGTTGTATACGTTCATTCATTTTCTTCCACGATTCTGTCTTATTTTCCGCACACATAAACATTGATTCGAATGACGAGACAAATTTGTCATACGTATTCAGTTCAGCCATGTGGCTCAAATACCAATGTTTAGCCGGACCTTCAAGGTGTAAACGAGCTGCTTCTAAAATTGACCATTGATTTAAGACGGCTGCTGTTTTTAATGCATTTATCCATTCCGTAGCTAGATCAGTATCGCCGGACTCGCCGTTAAACATGGGTACTGTTTGTTTATAGTTCGGAATCATCGTCGATTCCAACAGTTCCGTCCGTGGTATATTTTGTTCTATTAGTTTCGTAACGATTGTGTCCATTTGCTGTTCGCGCAAACGATTCTGTTTTAATATCGCACGCATGAACTCTTGAAAATCAGTCCGGGATAATTCGTCGGTCGTTAGATTCTTCGCATTCGTTTCCGTAATTTTCGACGAGAAAAAAAAATATATCTCTGATAGCACACAGTAAACAACGTTTTTTTTTTTTTTGATGATAACGATACGCACCGATTATCACTTCTACCCCAAGGTGTGGTAACTTATTTATGGTTACACAATTCTAACCTAAACACTACGCACGTCGCACACGCAAACACGACAAATATCAAACCATGCGAAAACGAACGTAATTTCGCATCCCACTTCTGAAATGTTATATATATTATGAAAATTCTATCTTTACACAAAGAAAACGCACAAGAATTAACTCTTAGTGTAATATAAAAATTAATAAACATTTATTCATTAGAATATACATATAAACTTAGATCACCAAAACGACATACATATAACGACAACGCACTCTTCGCTCAACGGTCGTCCGCGAACTACACTCTCTCTCTTTCCGTCACTCCCGATTGTACTCCCATCGCAAAGGCAACAGTGCCAGCACGTTTACAATATTTTCCTCTTCCTCCCTTTTCCCCTTTTTTTTATATAACATATGTAATATGTTCAAATTTTCAATAGTTTGATTTAAAACTCATATGATTATAATAATATTATTATCGTATTATAGTGATTTGATATAATACATTGATAACAGTCTAACATTATGATAGTGGTGAATAAATTACGCGCATGCGCAGAATGCTTAAGATGCATTCCTGTGTTTAGAGTCCAAACTTTAGACGCTCCTTTACAGGATCTGTCTATACGAAATCGATCAATACCGTCGTTATTATTTTCTATCATACTCTATGATATAGACAGACCCTCCTTTACAATTTACCACCATGATTACATAATATATCATTGGTTACTGATTCTTAGAATACGGTTTTATTACGTATTATTTAGTAGATAAACGATAATAAATGCCGATTAACTGTTTCTGAAAACATGTGGTTATTGGTTAATCGTTAATGTTAGTTTTCCATTATCCAACATCTAATACAAATTATTAATTAATTATTATTTTTTAAAAGTTTAACCACAGAATTTGTTTTAAGTAAATACTAAATTATAAATATTATTTAAAATATAAATTTAAGGTTTAAACCAATTATTTCAATGCATATTATATTTTTAATAGTGTTTTAATGTTGTATTTTGGTTAAAATATTTGAATTTAATTAAAAATATACTTTTATCCAATCAGCAATATGTATTATTATATGTATGGCAATTAGATTTCATATTTTGCCGACAACTTTTTATATAATTTATTGGTAAGTTCAATCTAAAATTAATAAATTTGAATTTTTTTTTTTTATTAAATGATTTATGTATAGTATAATTGACAAATAATTACCATGTTTCAAATATTTTAATTCTATTTCATTGGATATTCGTATTATTGGTGTAATTAATCAAAAATAACTGTGAACTATATGACTAGACGGCCCAAATTGACCAGCAATTAATGCAAATTCATATTGCTTTCTACTGGTACCTATCTGATGACTATATATTAATAAATAAAATAAAATTGGAATAAAGGAATACAATATACATATTACATATGTATATCTATATTATATTATATTTTAATCTTTCAACAATACCTCTACATTTGTAAAAAATTATTGATGATCACATTAATAGTTAATTTTAATTGTATGTTTAAATAATTAGATTAAGTTGTTGGTACATAAGGAATAGCATAGCCAATATGATATCCAACATCCGGAACGGATAGGAACTCATAGAAGAAGATAAATTGGTACATACCATAAGTAGGGCTATGGAGTTTTTATTAACCTAAATTGGCAAATTTAATTTTTTTTTTTAATATAAGTGTCATTTTTATGCAGTATTAAAAGATTTTTATATCATAAAATATTAATTAAAAATTAACATAATTTTAAAAATAAGTGTAAAAATTAATAATTTTTTAAAACATCCATAGCCCTA